GTGTGTGAGATACATAACGTAACAAAGACACAATGTATGAGATACATAACGTAACAAAGACACAATGTATGACAAACGTAACGTAACAAAGACANTATACATAACATAACAAAAACACAATGTATGAGATACACAATGTAACAAAGATACAATGTATAAGATACATAATGTGCCACATACGTAAGACATACTTAATCAAAAACATAAAAAGTAGGACATAAAAAAAATATACCTGCTGTAAGACTAACACCAGTGAAACATATGTATTGTAAGACATACACTGTGTAAAACACATGTATTGTAAGACATACCTTGTGTACGACATATGTATTGTAAGACATACCTTTTGTACGACATATGTATTGTAAGACATACATTGTGTATGACATATGTATTGTAAGACATACCTTGTGTACGACATATGTATTGTAAGACATACCTTGTGTATGACATATGTGATGCAAGACATACCTTGTGTATGACATGTATTGGAAAACATACCTTGTGTACGACATGTATTGTAAGACGTACCTTGTGTACGACATATGTATTGTAAGACATACATTGTGTACAACATATGTATTGTAAGACATACCTTGTGTACGACATATGAATTGTAAGACATACACTGTGTATGACTTATAGTTAGTAAGACATACCTTGTGTAAGATATATGTATTGTAAGACATACCTTGTGTACGACACATGAATTGTAAGACATACACTGTGTACGACATATGTATTGTAAGACATACCTTGCGTACGACATGTATTGTAAGACATACCTTGTGTACGACATGAATTGTAAGACATACCTTGTGTACGACATGAATTGTAAGACATACCTTGTGTACGACATGAATTGTAAGACATACCTTGTGTACGACACATGGATAGTAAGACATACCTTGTGTATGACTTATAGTTAGTAAGACATACCTTGTGTACGACATATGTATTGTAAGTCACACATTGTGTTTGACAACAGAATTGTAAAACATACATTGTGTAAGACAT